GAGGATTTTGACATTGGGTGGGGGAGGGTTGGCTCTTTGAGACTGCCCACCATAAGTGACTGCAGCTGGGCACTGAGAGGCAGCCCTTCTCCCACCTGAACCCGAGCCTTCTTGTGACCGCACCCTAAGGGTGTTTCTATGTAAGGGACACACCAGCAGATAATCTCGAAAGCACAGTGTAGCACAGAGAGCTTTCAAGATGATTTATACATTCCAGAAGGATAGAAACCCTGTGGGGGAATAAGAATACGGAAATGTGCTCATGCATCAAAATTTTAGTCATGAAGCCAATATTTCTACCAGAAGAAAAAGACAAATAGAGGGGAGGAAAGCACCGAGGGTGTAGAGGAAACACCATTTGCAAAGGGAAGAAATTATGACAAAAGCCGTAGGTATTTATAAATGCCTAAATCTTTATAAGCAAAATATGTGCCTAGAAACAGAATCTATGCTTTTAAAAAACCTAAAAATGCCAGGTAGGCTGAGCCCCTGTAATGACCTTTTGTGTGTGAAGGAACCTTGAGTTAAAAAAATAACGTGTCTTTTTGGTGGTGGTGGGGCTGTTTTTTTTTTCCCCCACCCCTAGATTTTATCCCTTTTACTTTTCCTTTCATTTTAAAATTGGTAGAGCCAGGGAGCCAACCAGGGAAGAGACAAGAGACTGAGGATTATGGAGAAGTATTCAAATTAAATGGGACTGGTGACTCCTTTGGGAGGGCAGTCTTCTCCTACCCAAGAGCCCACCCACTTTGAGTTTGTGAGGTCTGCGTGTGTTCTCTCATGGTTTCGGAGCATACCAGGCAATCACGATTTACTTGCAAATCATTGCAATGCCAAGAAAACAGATTTCCAGTTTTGGTCAAAGAAAGAGTCTTGGTGTCTTCTAGAGCTCAGCCCTACTAGATTCTAGGTCTGCTCTCGTAGAGGATTAGGTCACTTACATGTCACTGGACTCTGGCGAAGGCACAGGTGATACCTTCGCACTGAGCATTTCTGGTCCTGTTGGCTGTACCTTTGGAAGAGTTGCCCCTTTAAACTTGGATTTGGCAGGGACTCTCAGGAGAATTTCTGCCTAGCTTTTGTCTCCTGGGTTGATTGCCAAGAGACTTACTGGGCATCCCATGGGTCTGTGTGGAGTCAGAATCCTGAAATGAGTAGGGGATCTCTGCACCAATGGGTCATGCAAGGAACACTGGGCCAGCTTCCATCTCGCATGGGCTGGGCCTTTTCTTCTAGAGGACTGCTCAACTCAGATGAAGATGTGCTCTGTGTCCCATGGTGCTGTCCTCTGTCCTTTTGAATCCGTGTTAGTATATCGTCCTTGTTAGTGTTAGTGAAAATGCCCTTCTGTAACAGTGGGGTGTGGTGCCACTCTGCATCTATGGGAAGAGCTTCTCCTTTCTTGTGGTAGCAGACCTACCTGGCTCTGGTTAGGTAAGGATCAGACTTAGCGGCAGGGACTGAAAATAGAGCACGGACAGTCCTTTTCATTTCTAGGAGTACACCAGAACATTAAGGCAGAGGATTTAAAGTTGGGGTAATCCTCTCCCCAATCCCACCCTCACTAACAGGGAGCCCCTGTACTGCATGAGACCACCTGCTGAGCAGGTTTTGTTTTGTTTTGTTTTGGGTTTTTTTGGTGCCCCCTCCTGGGGTGGGGGCTATGGTGAGGAGTTGTTGCCTCAGCCAGAGCTTGAAGTGAAATGCTGTGTTTTGCCTTCTGACTCCAGACACAGCTGGGTTAGCTCCCCTCCCCACCCCCACAGACTCTGGGCCCCAACGCAGTGGGTCTGTAACAGGAGCAACTTTGCTTCTTGATCCAGTGGCTGTGAGCAGACATGTGTGCCTTTGCCCCTGTCCCAGCTGTATGGTGGTACCTCTTGGTGTCTCCTGTATTGGACTTTCAGAAGAATGGCCATAGCCAGTCAAAACCTAGATGGGAGACCCTGGAACACAAATGGAGATTTGTTTATAAGTTAGCTACTTGCTCCCATCAAGGTAAAGAATAAAAGTGACTCAGGTCACGTTGTACTTGCCTTCTCTTATTGGGGTGTTCTGGGATACCTGTTCTCGTGAACAGTAGAAAGAGCCATGAATACCTAGAACATCTTGGCATTCCTCTCCAGATGTGACGACACACCGGTGCTCTTGAGTAAAGGTAAGAGAAACGTTTGCGTCCTCACCCCAACTCAGGTCTACATTAAGGCATATCCCAAACTCAAGGAGGCCTCATTGTTTTAACCTCAGACCCCTCCAGAGTTTCCCCCTATAAAACAAAACTGCAAGCCCTCTTATCAAAGAAAAATTCTTTATAGGCTTTTCCGGTAAAAGCCAGTCCTGGTAAAAGCCAGTGCTCTGACCTGGTTTTCTGTAACTTCACAAATAGAACCAGATCCACTCTTGTACACGATAAAGGCTCAACAATTGCTTTTCTCATGAGCACTGTCTATAGGGTTCAGTACTCCTTGCGCACCTGTGCACTGCTCGTTCCCATGGCTCTCCCTGCCTTAGTGGTCAGTGTGGGGGAAAGTGGCCATTACCACAGCTTCTGACACGGAATCCCTCTCTGATCAAGTTCCTGGGTCACCCTGCTTTGCAGGTCCTTCCTTTTCCCTTCTGGATTCTCAAGGACTGAAGTGGTTTTCTGTGAGTTCTGCTATTTTCCGTGTTGTGACAACCAATATACCTGAGAAAAATGCCTAAAGCAAGTAGGCAGAAATCCTGTCTCTATTTTAAATGAGGTTAAAATGGAAACTTTCTTCAGTTTGGAAGGAGCCATCGATGTGATATTAGTTAATAAAAAACATGACACAGATCCACTGACAGCAATTTTCAGAGGAAATGATGGACAAGTTCAAGGAACTCTTGTATCCTTTGGCCAGAACAAGACATGCAGAGGGGATGAATGTGGGGATAGGGAGGAGCTGCTGTGGGAGAGCTGTGGCTTTAGTGCTGTTGCTTCGAGAGAATCACGGGTCCTGTTCCTGGTGCCTCAACAGGATGGTTGTTGGGTGGACAGCTAAAGCCATTGTAGAAGCAGAAAAGTGTCCTCTGCCTTACGTTCATCCTAGACCCCTAGAGCTTATGGGGATCAGGGACACAGGAGTGTTTCTTTCGGATGAAGTGTGGGTCCCCTAGAAGGAAGGACTAGTGTGTAATCCTATTGTGTTCTTCCCATAAGAGTCATCTCAGGAGGTAGAGGGTCCCCAAAGGCAAGAAATGAGGCAGATACTAGATTCTAGGGCACAGAGAAGAAGTGACAAGTGATCACTGAGGGTAAATAATCCATCAAACTCAGAGTTGAGACGGGGAGTAGAATATCAACCTGAGATTGAGGAAAGCCTGAAGATGGAGAGGTATGGATTCTAACACAGGCTGACTAGAATATAAACTCCAAAACCAGTACCATGATCCGCTCAGTGCTGTATTTGCACCCGGCATAGTGTCTGGCACAAGAGTAGGTGCTCAATTAAAAAAAACAAACAAACAAAAAAATGGTGAAGCCACTTGAGTATACATTGATTGGATTTAAAAAAAAAATGTTTTAGGTTCATTGACCAAGGTGGGTGTTCAGTCAAAGCCATCTACCGATAAGCCCCAGCACAGTGTCTGGGCGAATGTGTCTGTGTTCCTGGAGGAAATCTGTCCTCTACAGGGAGAGCCTGGTCTTTGCTTAGTATGCACGGTGCTCACAGTACAGGAAAGGTGGCTGACGTTAAACTATAAAGCCTTGAGTCATGAGCTGGTGAATGGAAAAGAATTTTCTACATTGCTGAAGTCCCTGTCTAGCCAGCTTGATGTTCTGGATGGTTTCTGCCTCACCGGAGAGGTTGCCGTGTTCTTAGGAAGTCCCTCCGATCTACTGGAGCACCCGGGCAGATCTTGGATTCTCCCTGCTGGATCCCAATGCTGTGCTAATGGGATTCCTGGGTTCTAGTCCACTTCCTTGTAACTGGCATCTGTCTCCTCATTGACCCCGGGTGAACGAATGTAGGAGCTGGAAGTAATCCCTCCTGTTATCATTTTGAAGCTCTCTTGGGTGTGGTCTTTCTGATTTCCCTTGGCTTCATGCCCCATTATCGGGGCAAAGTCTGCCTTGTTTTCCTCATGCAGTGAAATTCTCTTTGGGGTCCTTCTCTAGGAAGGCACTGTCTTTCTGTTGGGGATGGGCCAGGAACTGTGGCTTGTGGCTCTTGTGATGGAAGGAACTACTGATAAAACTGGGCGAGTATTTTATAGTACTACAGTTAGGATGCTGGGTGCTCAGGGCTGTACCTGAAGGAGGTAAATGGGGATCAGGTTATGGAGGACAGTGTCACATTAAGGGTTTAAATTACATTCTCCGTGAGAAGAACCGGGAGTCATGAGCAGTATTCCTGAGGACTTCAGGACCGTATCCTGAAAATCAAGTGTCGTATGATACCACAGGGAATTTTTAGAAAAAGACATGTTTGCCTTATTGCACAACAACTCCAGACTTCTACACATTTTTAGTTTCCATTCCTGCTGCTAGTTTTCCTCATTACTTGATGTCAGTCTACATTATTTTTACTTATCTCATTATAATTTTTTCTCTGCTGTAACCTCAGCCCTCTTTTTGATTTTTAGCTGGAAAACCAAATAGGATTCCTTTTGAAATTTTACACACATTTGGAATTAATATGAAGTAGTAGCTTGTCAGTATTGCCACTGCCTTACTCGGAGGGCTCTGGCTTTGCGATGTATCTTCCTAGTTATGGGTTCCCCTCCCCTCCCATTTACAACCAGGTTGTTCTGGATGATTAAAAAAACCAAAAACAAAACACAAACAAAACCCACTGATTTCCAAGTAAGTGGATCAAAGCGAAATGCTCGAGACCATGGATACTAAACAAATGCAGGTGGGATGACACAACACACTTTCCTACTCAGTGACACAGAGATAGGAAATTCAAAGGCAAAAGCACTCTGGATATGGGATCTCTCATGGCGTTGTCTTGAGTGGATTCCTCACATATTTCGCTCTCAGGGGCTCCTGTTGACTGAAGACCTCAGTCCCAGACCAGGGGCTTGATGACCACGTAGCCTTGACTCTCATGGTCCAGAGCACTCCAGTCCAGCACGTTGGGATCAAGGAGGTAGGATCCTTGCTGCACAGACAGGATCTGTTGTGTGGACAGCACAGAGTCCCACATGTACAAGTCCCCGATCTCCCCCACGAAGGACTGGTTCACGTCAAACCCCCCTCCATATGAATCCTGCTCCTGCCCCAGGATGATCTTGGGCTGAGTCGCCACTGAGTAGCCCTGCTTCAGGCCCTTCTTCACCAGTGGCTTCCCATTGACCCAAAACTCAGCAATGCCTGTGGAAGACTCCCAGGTAACACAGATGTGCGTGGGGCTGGGGAACACCTCGGCAACTCTGAAGGTGACTTTGGTTTTTCCAATGTGCAGGGAGTACTCCCCAACTCTTTCCTTGAAGACAAGGATCTCATTGTCCTTGCCCCGGGCATTGTAGGAGAAGAGGCTGTGGGCACGGCTCAGGTCGCTGTAGGCTCGGAAACACAAGGTAAAGCTCTTCAGAGGCTTCTCCATCTTTGGAGTCAAGGTCACATGGTCAGTAGAAGATTCTTGAGGGAACACAAATACCTTCCCCCTGAGGTCTGGGAGTGGGAGTAGAGAAAAAGGACCTTTACCCTACACGCAGAGAGAAAAATAACTTATCCAACCCCCCTCTCATCTCGTGCTCCTTGACCATCCTGTGACCACCCTACCTGTGTGAGCAAAGGCCCCCAGGAGACTGGCAAGGGCAGAGACCAGAAGCAGCAGCTTGTCCATGTTCTTGGCCTGGTGCTATGTTAGCAGCGGAGGGACTGGGGTGAGGGCACAGAGAGCACTGTGGTTGTCACCCAGCTTCGAGGCTCACGCTCTTAGACCTCAGGTTCCCAGGGTTTATATGCAGCCGTGGGGGAGGATGGGAGATGGAGAGCACCAGGGATGTGTGAGGTATTTGCCAGCCTGCTCCCAGTGCCCAGGGTCAGAGCTGCTGAGTAGAAGAGGGCCGAGCCTGGCCAGGAAACTCCTGGGGGTTACTTATTAGCTACAAGGGACTGCTAGGGTGCTGCCCCTGTGACCTGGTTCTGGGCTGGGAGAGCAGAGGTGGAGCGGGCAGGGAGGGGTCTGGTTGGCCTGGGGAGGTAGGGCGGCTCACCCTGTTGATGTGGGGGCCTCTGTGGGTTGTGTGTGCAAGGCCTCCCCCTCCCCATGGTTCTGTGGAGTGGACTTCTGTGTAGGACATCCTGGGATTCTGCTTTCTGCAGATCCTGAAGAGTCTCTTCCCCTTTGATTAATCAATATTGAGTAACAGGTCTTGCCATTGACAAGGGACAAGAGAATTAGAGGGTGCACTGTCTCCCTGAAGCTTATATTTTCAGCTATTACTCAGCTCTTCTGAGTACTGTGGTGTTTCTTTATGCTGGATTTTCCCATTTCTCATTGGGACATAGTTCCCTGGTAACCTACCCACTGTCTGCAGATAGGTTCACCTGGCACTCGGTTTTCTTCACATCCCTCATATTGAGAGTATATTTATGTGAATTTTTGGTGATAGCCTGATTCATACATGACTTAAAATCATTCATTCATTCCCAAGCATGACCCTGGGTGATGGAGATTCATTGGTGACCTACTGTGGCACAACCCCCGTGATCTAGGTTTCTGTTCCCCCTGTTAAACTAAAAATGTAGGGGCAGCTGGGTGGTTCAGTATGTTAAGCATCTGCCTTCGGCTCAGGTCAAGATCCCAGGGCCCTGGGCTCGAGCCCCACATTAGGGTCCCTGGTCAGCGGGAGTCTGCTTCTCCCTCTGCCCTTCTGCTGCCTGAATTAGACCCAGGTCCTTCAGCGTGGGAGCTGGTGCCGCTCACCCTCCGCTGAAACCTTGCAACCAGATCTTACTGTACTCCTGTTGTCTGTCTCCTTGCTGTTCCTCATGTGTTCTGGGCTCTCCTGATCTCACTACTTCTAGTTGTTGTCTCTTATCCATTTGTTTCCTACAGTTCTTCACAATTTCTAAAGACTGTCCCGATGTCTCAACTAGACCTGATTTTCACCTTTAACTCTCCGTAAGTTTAAGATCAAAGACTTGAGTAGGATAGACTAGCAGTTGACTATGGTGAATCGCTAAACCTCTGTGAACCTTGGTTTCCTTTTCTGAAAAGCCAAAAAACAACTCTCAGCTCCGTGTTTTTGTGAGGCTAAATGAGCTACCATAATGTGCACAGAGTGCACAGCACTGTGTCTGGGTATTACTTTGAATTCTTGATGGACATTACCATTGTCTGTCTCCTATTACCGATAACTAGTGTATTTATCTCTTACCCTTTCTTGACTGACACTGACCATTAGGGCTTCTTCATTTTGAGGTGAACCATTTTACTTAATTATTCTTACACATGAAAAGAGCCCAGTGTTTATTTGTGGAATCAAAGGATTCAAACAGGGTGAGCGCTTTTTACATAAAACTGCAGCAATAAAAAGTAGAATCCAGGGGAATGATAGGAGCAGGTCATGCTGAAAGCAGGAGTGGGGAGCTAACCTCCCCCAGGATCACAGGTACTGTCTGATTTCCTTCCCCAGATGGTCATTAGCGGGTGCCATGAAAGTTAAGGGAACACAGGGCTCACCAGCTGCTTTTGGTTTCCATCATAAATTATGCCGTTAATCTCTTCAAATGCAATATGAGGTTGTGTCGGGCCCACCAGGGGTGGGGTTGGTCCTGACGAGGTCAGAGGTAAGAGTTGATGCTGCTATTAGGGCCACATTCCAGGGTTAGAGCTGGACTTGAGAACTGTGTTTAGACACTGAGCAAAAAGACCCGCTGGGAAGTAGGTCTCATAGTGGATGGGAAAAGGCAGTGGTGGCATCAGTGGTGGGGCGGGGGGCGTTTCTCCTTCTTGGTTTCCTTCCCTGGAATATGGTTCTTAGCTCTTGGCAGAGAAGAACCTGAGCTTTAGGAGTCCTCAGATTGGGAACCAGATCTTTCCTGTTGCAGAGAGGAAGGCTCTTATGTCAGAGGAAAATGGATCTGGGGGCCTCAGAAGCGGGTGGAATTCTCCAAGCAAATGAAATCTGTGGCGGCTGAGAGGCTCCTGGGTGCCTCCCTGCCAGTGGAAGCTCAGGGGCGAGGCGGTGGTTCCTGTCTGCATGGTTCTGGAAGGCTTGAGGGTGTGGAGTAAGAGCAGGGCCACCAGTGTGCCTCAAGTTGAGCTCTCCCGGTTCCGTCAGTTGGCAGGCAGTAAAGTTTGCCTTCAGGAAGCAAGGGGCGGCGGGAAGAGGGCAGTGTCAGGAAAAAGGGTAACATGAACTCAGAGCTGGAGAAAGCTAGAGGTGTGAACGTTACCCAAGGGACTGAAGAATATTTGATCCCTTCCAAGGCCTTGGGTGTTTATAGAACACATAAAGTCCTAGTAATCATCGAGAAAGACTAGATAGGGAGAGCCAGAAGAAGAACATGAGCTAGACCAGCATTTTGGCACTCATAAAGGGTTAGTTGCCATGTGTTCTGTTAGCTGTGAGGAAACCTGAAAGTATTGGTAAGCAAAGGAAAGGCCACAGAGACGTCCAGAGTAACTGAGCACTGCCGTCATTGGTGCTTGTGTAAAATCAAAGGCATGTAATCTTAGACTGATGGCAGGGTCTTAAGATTTCATTTTTAAGCAACCTCTACACCCAACGTGGGGCTCGAACTCACAACCTCAAGATCTAGTCGTACACTCCACTGAGCAAGCCAGCCAGACACCCCAGAGATGAGCTTTGTAACAGTATATGAAATATGGAATCAGATTTTTCTCTAAATTTATGATTGCATATGTTTTGGAAAAATATGGTGCTAGTGGTGCAGTATTGAGGGGAGGAAGTTCCTTTGGAGGAGGTAGAGGGAAGTCAGGTTATTCAAATGCTGAATTTGACATGATAGTATGATTTAAACTTTGAAAAAGCCAGTGGAGACTTTGTAATATATATGTGCCACTTGGGATTACAAATGCAAGTTTTGGAAGAATCAGCATATAACAAATGGAAACAAATGGATTGGAATGCAAGTTGGTGCAGCCACTTTGGAAAACAGTGTGGAGATTCCTTAAGAAATTAAAAGTAGAGCTTCCCTATGACTCTGCAATTGCACTACTAGGTATTTACCCCAAAGAAGCAGATGTAGTGAAAAGAAGGGCCATCTGTACCCCAATGTTTATAGCAGCAATGGCCACGGTCGCCAAACTGTGGAAAGAACCAAGATGCCCTTCAACGGACGAATGGATAAGGAAGATGTGGTCCATATACACTATGGAGTATTATGCCTCCATCAGAAAGGATGAATACCCAACTTTTGTAGCAACATGGATGGGACTGGAAGAGATTACGCTGAGTGAAATAAGAGTCAATTATCATATGGTTTCACTTATTTGTGGAGCATAAGGAATAACACGGAGGACATGGGGAGATGGAGAGGAGAAGGGAGTTGGGGGAAACTGGAGGGGGAGACGAACCACGAGAGACTATGGACTCTGAAAAACAATCTGAGGGTTTTGGAGGGGCAGGAGGTGGGAGGTTGGGGGATCCTGGTGGTGGGGATTATGGAGGGAATGTATTGCTTGGACCACTGGGTGTGGTATATAGACAATGAATTTTGGAACACCAAAAAGAAATTCAACAACAACAACTGGATTCTCTCCTTCAGTGGAAAAGATGTTGGGAGGCAAAGCACTGACTTGGATTCATGGGGTTGGAGGCAAAGAAAGGGAGACAGCAAGTTTTGGCAGAGAGAAAGGGTAGTGCACAGAGTGTCATGGAAACCAAGTTAGCATGTTTCCAGGAGAGACCGGCAAGCAGTGTCCAGTGACATTAAGTGCATCAGTGAGATCTCAGTAGAAAGGATGCTGGATTTAGCAATAAAAACTTCATCGGTGACCTTTGGAAGAGCAATTTCCTTAAAGTGAGCATGGCAGGAGCCAGGTTGCAGGGGATGATGGAGGGAGAAAAAGAAGTCGGCTTCCCTAGGTTCAGTAATTCTGACAAACAACAGAAGGGAAGCAGCAGGATTTCTGGTGGGACTCAGGATCCAGTGTGTTTTTTCATACTGATTTTAGATTCTGTTCTTGACAGAGCTATTGTGTCTGTGCCCCTCACCCTGTAACATTTCACCCAAGGAACCAGAAGAACCTGTGTCCTCCTGAGATTGTGACTGACCTTTCTGCCAAATACTTATTTCAGACTCTAAAGACCAGACTGCAGGCTGCTGGCAGGCTCCTAGTCCCCTTCCCAGTTCTGGCAGAGTCCCGAGTGGGCCTCTGTCTAGGTCCTGTGGACATATAGGAGTCTGTCCTTGATCTCACTTCTATTCCTAGTTTCAGGGTTCATTTGTAAAAGAAAATCCTTGACAACTTTTTCATCTTTTGGTTTCAGTCCTATATGTAGACCACACTACTTCCATGAGATCTCACTTCTGAATTCAGAGTTTGAAGGCGAGTCTTCTCTAGAATGTCCTAGTAATTACCATCTCCTTGCCACTTGTCCCTGAGGGTGAATGGCATCTGGGGGAGGAGACACAGAAGGAAGAGAAAATGGTGGGGACGCGGAGTAAAGGTGTTAAGTGTGCTCTGGACAGGAGTGTGTGTGTCTATGGTGGCGGAAGGGTGTGTTGATGAAGCAGGGGCAGGCTTCCCACGTATTTTGGCTGGAGGAGCCCTTGGTGGGAGCAGTCCTGTTTTATGGTTGTTGCCTTGTCTTCCTCTGTGCGGTTTCTGCCCATGACCTAGAGTCTCTGGCAGAACAAGAATTTTCTCATTTTGACCTATTTAATTCCTGTCTCTAAAACTATAGAATATAGGGAAAAAGCCTCAGGGAAGCTGATGGTT